GCGCAGATTCGATTTCTGCACAGGCGTCTCGACAATAACGTGTTGCCGGAATGCGCTTGGCACAAACCTTCGGGAAACCGAGAGCTGGCGAGACGCGTAGTATTTCAGCATGGCAGTTTCTGAAACTGTCAGCTTGATTGCCTGACGTCAATCCTTTGGAGCATGCCCGGCATTGTCTCCGAAAAGTGCTTTTCAGAACACCGGAGCAACAAAAACATTTTCAAATTAAGTTTGTTTTTATGAAAGTTTGGAAGGCATTAAAGTGAGGACAGACCTCCTACAGATAAGGGTGCTGGTTCCCCAGGGGTGCAGTACCTATGGGATGCAGCTGCCATGCGTCCACATACCTATAATAAGTAGCACAGTCCGCAATCCTCGTCAATGATCGCGCTTGGTGCGATGCTTGCCCGAGTAGTCATCCGGTGCGGGGAATAGGAGCAGTGGCTGACATAGATAGTGGCCTCGCCTGTGTGTGTGCCATATACAGGATCTGGCCCCAAGCACAAGCACCGTCAGGCAGAGTTTGAGTTATTCCCCGCTGATAACATTAAATAGGCCAGACATGTCTACTTCGGTTTCTCCTTTGTTATTAATTGTTTTTTTGTTATGCTGCTGTCTGCTACCGTGGTCGCCGGGACGGCTGCCCACCCATGTCACCAAGCACGCCTGTCAATCACTGCTTGCGCGCGTGTGACTCAGCCTCCGGCTCGTCCACACCGTGAAGTCGGTCGATATTTCTATTTTTCGTAGATTGGCTGCAGTCGCACAAAGCTCAGGCTCATACACTGCACACGCAAAGGTTAACAACGTAAAACAGCTAACGCCTGGCTGATGAAGAAAACTGCTGCATCCGCACAGTAAACCTCCTTTTCCAAAAGGACGTATTTGACTTCGACTTAAAGTTCTTGGGATGCCTACCTTCCAAAGCATATATATATAGATATATGAATTGGAACGCAGGCATCCCAAGAAATATAAATTAAAAACAAAACGTTCTTTGGGAAAGGGAGAAAACTTTATTGAGTAAATTTTCGACGTCGGTTCCCCGTGTCGTCGTCAGACTAGAGTAAATGTGCTGAAAACAATTAAAATCTCAAACGTGCTACAAAATCAATACTCATTTGGTGCCTCAGCTAGTAAGCTGCCGTCGTGTGTGTCAGTCCGTATTGATCGGCTTTCGTCTCTTCCACTTTTCTCTGAGATTCTTGTACGTGGCATCTAATTCGATATGCCTGTTGATGCATGACTCATCGGAGTGCATGGCTTCAAGAAACTCTCGGCCTTTTTTAGATGGGCAAACTCCGACGATGCGAGCTTTGTCCCATGCGAAATTGTGCCCAGTATCAAGAGTGTGCATGGCCATTTGAGACGAGTGGTCTCGCCTCTTAACTGCAAGTTGATGTTCGTGGATGCGTGTAGAGGCACATTTTCCCGTTTGGCCACAATATAAGGCATCACAGGCTTCGCATGGGATCTTATAGACGACTTCTTTTTTATTGAGATAGCCAACCCTATCCTTAGGGTGTACAAGCTGGGTGCGTGGTTTCTTTGTTCACTTCCATACCATTAGATTTCGCAAGGCAATGCACAGATGAACTCCTAAAATCCTATGACACGGATGTTCCCGCATCTGCCTTACTTGAACTTATGGACCTTTGTTTAGAAACCAATTTTTCGTTCGATCACCAATATTATCAACAACTAAAAGGTGCTCCAATGGGATCACCCATATCTGGCTTTCTTGCCGAGTCGACAATGCAGAAATTGGAATCGGTGGCTCTTCCATTAGTTAACCCTAAGTTATGGGTACGGTATGTAGACGACACGTTTGTCGTCGTTAAAACGGATCAACTAGAAATACTTCACGACACAATCAATTCAACCGTTCCGGGAATTAAATTCACGTTGGAAAAAGAACTTGACAATAAACTCCCATTTCTAGACGTTCTCGTACAGCGTAAGACTGACGGAACATTACACACCTCCGTTTACCGCAAAGAAACATATGCAGAAATAATTCTACACTATGAGAGCAACAGTCCGATCTCTCACAAGCGGAGTACTGTCAAAAGTCTGATACATCGAGCAAAAACACATTGTTCTGATGAAGAAAGCTACAAAGTTGAACTAAACTACCTATTTGAATTATTTTCCCAGAACGGATACCCGAGAGATTTCGTACGTCGATGCATGAAACAACAAGAGATAAAAACTAAGGAACTAGATAGTTCCAATCAAGCGCCCAAAGCAAACACTTGGCGAATCCTTCCTTACATCAGAAATGTGTCTGAAATTGTTGAAAGACACTTGAGGAAACACCAGATAAAAGTGGCGCACAAGCCGACGACTACTTTACGCACCCAGCTTGTACACCCTAAGGATAGGGTTGGCTATCTCAATAAAAAAGAAGTCGTCTATAAGATCCCATGCGAAGCCTGTGATGCCGTATATTGTGGCCAAACGGGAAAATGTGCCTCTACACGCATCCACGAACATCAACTTGCAGTTAAGAGGCGAGACCACTTGTCTCAAATGGCCATGCACACTCTTGATACTGGGCACAATTTCGCATGGGACAAAGCTCGCATCGTCGGAGTTTGCCCATCTAAAAAAGGCCGAGAGTTTCTTGAAGCCATGCACTCCGATGAGTCATGCATCAACAGGCATATCGAATTAGATGCCACGTACAAGAATCTCAGAGAAAAGTGGAAGAGACGAAAGCCGATCAATACGGACTGACACACACGACGGCAGCTTACTAGCTGAGGCACCAAATGAGTATTGATTTTGTAGCACGTTTGAGATTTTAATTGTTTTCAGCACATTTACTCTAGTCTGACGACGACACGGGGAACCGACGTCGAAAATTTACTCAATAAAGTTTTCTCCCTTTCCCAAAGAACGTTTTGATTTCAATATAGATATATCTGAGTAAGTGAAGGCTCTTCGGAAAATTGAGTTGTACTTGAAAATTTACGAGTACAACTCAAGTTTCCGAAGAGCCTTCACTTTCTCATTATATCACCTCGGAATGCACACCACATCAGATATTCAATAGATATATATGGTAGGGGGCGCTCACCGATCGTGGATACGGAACTCACTCGTTCCGTTTTGCCTTAAGGGCTCACTCTCGAGCCCAACCAGCAGCCGCACAGCGGCGCATGATATATAGGCAGAATGATATTACCGACAAAGACAAGAGAGCCCTTAAGGCAAAACGGAACGAGTGAGTTCCGTATCCACGATCGGTGAGCGCCCCCTAACATTGTATATTCCCGATCGAAAACCGACAGGGCAACGGGCTCGTGGCCCGGTGAGTAGAGGCGTTGACTTCTAAACCAACAGGTCGCGAGTTCGAGGCTCGGGTGTTCCACACTTCGGGCTTGGGTATGGCTGGCTGACGACGGCTAATAAGACAGAAATGGCCATTCCGGTCTCCCTTGTCTTTGTCGGTACCATCTCATATATATATATATGTTGATATATATATATATATGTGTTGATAAGGTGATAAGGACAAAGACAAGGAAGACCGGAATGGCTATTTCTGGCTTATTAGCCGTAATCAGCCAGTCATACCCAACCCCAAGTGTGGATCACTTGAGATTCGAACCCGGGATCTATGGTCATGGAGTTTGACGCTCTACTACTGAGCCACCGTATCAACATATATCACTAGTCGCTATGCGACTGCCTTCGAGGGTTTAAGTATGAGCCCCAAGACACAACAGAACGAGCATGTTCTGTAACCTGATCGGTGAGCGCCCATCTGTCATAATATATATATATGACAGATGGGAGCTAATTTATATATATATAAATATATATATATATATATATATATATATTACATGAGCAGCTCGCTAAGAGTGCAACAGGCCAGACGCAGACAGCTGTTTCACGGTCGTTACCGATCGTCAGTACGTCATAGGCCTTATGAAGTGAGGTATGTAAGCATGTCAAGTGGGCGTTTGACCCTCACTGTAGTGGTTAGGATCTCACTCGATCCCATTCTGTCCGCCCGCCAGCTTGCTACTGGCGACAACGAACGCAGTGTCAGAGGACACATACCACATATAATACATGAGCAGCTCGCTAAGAGTGCAACAGGCCAGACGCAGACAGCTGTTTCACGGTCGTTACCGATCATCAGTACGTCATAGGCCTTATGAAGTGAGGTATATAAGCATGTCAAGTGGGCGTATGACCCTCACTGTAGTGGCTAGGATCTCAGCTGTCTGCGTCTGGCCTGTTGCACTCTTAGCGAGCTGCTCATGTATTATATGTGGTATGTGTCCTCTGACACAGCGTTCGTTGTCGCCAGTAGCAAGCTGGCGGGCGGACAGAATGGGATCGAGTGAGATCCTAACCACAACAGTGAGGGTCAAACGCCCACTTGACATGCTTATATACCTCACTTCATAAGGCCTATGACGTACTGATGATCGGTAACGACCGTGAAACAGCTGTCTGCGTCTGGCCTGTTGCACTCTTAGCGAGCTGCTCATGTATTATATGTGGTATGTGTCCTCTGACACAGCGTTCGTTGTCGCCAGTAGCAAGCTGGCGGGCGGACAGAATGGGATCGAGTGAGATCCTAACCACAACAGTGAGGGTCAAACGCCCACTTGACATGCTTATATACCTCACTTCATAAGGCCTATGACGTACTGATGATCGGTAACGACCGTGAAACAGCTGTCTGCGTCTGGCCTGTTGCACTCTTAGCGAGCTGCTCATGTATTATATGTGGTATGTGTCCTCTGACACAGCGTTCGTTGTCGCCAGTAGCAAGCTGGCGGGCGGACAGAATGGGATCGAGTGAGATCCTAACCACAACAGTGAGGGTCAAACGCCCACTTGACATGCTTATANTCCTCCGGCAAAAAAGACACCAGCAAACTCTACCGGCCGAAGAAGCGCAAGGATTGCGAGCACTGAAATCGGACCACAGCATCGTTGTTGTTCCTGCCGACAAAGGTGGCGCTACCGTCATCATGGACAAAACTGACTACGTTAACAAGGCGAATACAATCTTCAGTGACACGGATTCTTACACCATTCTCACCGAAGACCCAACGAAAAAGCAAGCCGCAGCCATCAAGAAAAAAATTAATGAGCTTGCTCGTCTAAAAGTCATAGGTCCAGATGACTCAAAATTTATGACCCTCAGTGATCCCCATGTCGCACACGCATACGGTCCCCCGAAGGTTCACAAAATTGGTGCCCCACTGAGGATTATAGTACCGCTCATCGGATCCCCTACCTACAATTTAGCCAAGTGGCTGTACAAGCATCTGAAGCCGCTAACTCACGGATCTCGCTACAGCATTAACAGCTCCCACGAATTCCTCAACCGGATTGACGGCCTCAATGTAAGCACTGATGAATGCTTCTTGTCTTTTGACGTCGTTGCCTTATTTTCTTCTATACCGCACGACTTGGCAATTGACTGCGTAGCCCAACAGCTACAAAACAATCCTATTGGTATCCCAGCGCACCACGTTATAGAACTGCTCCAACTGTGCCTTAAGAACTATTGTAAGTTCGACAAGAAGTACTACCAACAGGTGAAGGGAAGTCTAATGGGCTCCCCAATATCCGGTCTACTCGCCGAACTAGTGCTACAGCGACTAGAACATGAGGTTTTTCAAACTCTCAACCCCAAAATGTGGCTCCGCTATGTAGACGACACCTTTGTCGTAACAAAGAACCGCGACGTCGAAAGGCTACATCGGAGGCTGAATGAAGTCTTTCCGGCCATACAATTTACCCGCGAAGAGGCAGTAGGAGACAGTCTGTCGTTTCTGGACGTGAAAATACAAAGGCTGGATGACGGTAACCTCGCAACCAGCGTCCATAGAAAAGGGTCTGATTCTGAGATGATCCTCAATTATGGAAGCAATCACCCTGCGGCTCACAAAAGAAGTTGCGTCCGAACCCTCTTCCACCGGGCCTACCGGTATTGCAGCAATGAAGATCTGCTGAAAAATGAACTAGGCTTTCTATATCGGCTATTTCGATCTAACGGATACCCAGTCAGTTTCGTGAAGAACTGCCTCAGACGTCAGGCACAACCTCGAGACCCCTCCACAGATGGAGAAACCGTGACGCGGAAATTCTTCTCCCTGCCCTATATGCAGGGGACCTCAGAAATGATCGCCCGTCAGTTAAGTCAGTTCGGTATTCGCGTTTCCCACAAGCCTGCATCCTCGCTGCGCACAGTCTTAACTCGAGTAAAGGATTCTATCCCCAAAGAGGAACAGACTAACGTCATTTATCGCATCCCGTGTGCCAATTGTCCCTGCGTATATGTTGGTCATACAGGACGACGCCTGGGAACTCGTATTAATGAGCACAAACTAGCTGTCCGTCGCCGTGATCCACTGTCCCTCGTCTTTGCACACGCACTCCAGTGCGACCACCGTTTTAATTGGGATAACACCGAGGTCATCGCCACGGCCAACACAAAACGGGCGAGAGAATTCCTAGAGGCATGGCACTCTAACGCGGATAGCATCAACCGCCATGTTGACCTAGACGTCCATTATGAGGGCCTAAGATCACGCCTCACTAAGCCGAGCCCCACGCCGCATCAGCAGCCGCTAATCCAGGCGCCCGCAGTTCTGCCAACCTACCATTCTCCCTCCCCTCCAACACGGGAGCCGTAACGGCCCCCCCCCTTCCTACCCTCCCGGCTCAGAACCCAGCATGACTCCCTACCCGCATCCCTACTCACACGCTAATGGTTCGTCCGCCAATGTTTGTCCTGTCTCGTCTATTAGTCTAGTGTGACTGTCTCACTCTCTCTTTTCTCTTCATTTCGTCTGACGACGGGTTGGTGTCACCAATTCGAAAATTCACGAGTACAACTCGATTTTTTCCGAAGAACCTCTTCCTTTTTCAT